TCAGCAGCGTCAGCTGCACCGGGCAGGCCGGGCGGGCAGCACAGCACGTTTGCGTCGAGCCTGCGCACGGCGCAGCGACCGCGAGGCTCCACGCCACGCGCCCCGCCGCGAAAATGCTGGCGCACGGTCGCCGACGCAGCAACAGTTGCCACGGCGTCGGTGGCGCGGCGCCGGCGGTACCGCTGGTACCGCTGGTACCGCACACACCTGCGCGTACTGGTAGTTGTCGTTCACGATCTTGACCAGCTCGGGAAAGTGCCAGGAGTACCACTCTCGCACCCGCATCACAAACGTGTTGACGTCCTTGTCCAGAGTGTCCAGCAGCGCGATGGCCTGCTCAAGGGGAGGGGGCGCAGTGTGTGTGGGGGGGTGCGGCGGCGGACATCGGGGAGAGACGTGGGAGATGCCGCCTCCCTTGCCCCTGTCCCTCCGTCTCCCATCGCCCACCCAGCGCCCATCGTTTTTTGGAAAGGCACACAGATTGAATGGACAGGAATTCGAGACTCAAGGTGTTGGCGCCACCTGGATGATCATGTTGTCGGCCTTGTTGACGTTGAACTTGACCTTGGCGCGGGAGTAGGAGTGGGCGAGGCCCAGCTGGGCGCGCGCCATGTCGCGGTCTTCCAACCCCTTGATGAACCTGGAGGGGAGGGAGGGAGGGAGGGAGGGAGGGAGGGAGGGAGGGAGCGAATGGTGAGGGAGGGCAGGGCAAGGAGGGGAGGAGGCACGAGGAATTGCGATGTGAGCACACAGCAGCACCGCTGCCGCCCGCTGCTGCTTGGAGCTGCTGCCGCCGCTTGGAGCTGGCGCCTGCCCACGCGTGCGGCTGCTCCCTGGGTTCAAGCCGGGCGGCAGGGCTCACGTGGCAATGTGCTGGCGCACGCCGCGCAGCAGCTCTCCCACATACTCGTTGCACTCGCAGGGCACCCCCGTCTCCTCCTGCACACAGGCCCAGGCGCAGGCGCAGGCGCAGGCGCAAAATGCGGCACACGTGAGCGGGGAGGCAGCAGCGCGGGGCCAGGGATGCCTGCCGGTGGCTGACCAGGGGTAGGGAAGCCACGGGCGGCTGCTGGCAGGCGTGCCCCGCTGCACTCCCGGCTGCGTGAGGTACCGAGCGGGCTGCCGCTGGTACCGGCATGAGCTGCCTGCTGCTGTGGGCCACCTCCGCCATCTGCCTTGCTGTCCCCAGGCTGGCGCCGCATCCAGCCGCCGCGTGCGGCGCCATGCTGCCACTCCAGCACGCCAGCGCCGGCCCCGGCAAAGGACGCCGCCTCCCCACCAGTCGCCCACAGCTCCCGGCGGCCAACCACACTGGACCACAGCCCTGTGCAGCCAGCAGCCATGGACCAGCATCCATCAACCGGCAGCAGACCCCTCCGGGGCAGGCTGCGCCCACCTGGATGGCAGAGCCCAGCTTGGCCTCAGCCACACCAAGCTTGTACTTGGCCTTTCCTTTCTTCGCCGCGGGCAGGTTGGTGGTCAGGAAGTTCTTCAGGTCGTCGGTCACCTGTTGCAAAAGGCGAGAGAGGGGCGCATGAGGGTGAGCAGCAGGGTGCACGGCTGGCGGCGGGCAGCGACGGGGCGGCGGGCGGTGGCGGCGGCGGCGGCCATCGCGCCATGCCTCCGCATGCACCGTCCCTGGCGCCCCGGGCTGTGCCTGCTCCCAGTCCGGGAGGCGCTGGGGCGCTGCAGGGGCCTGTCCGGCATATGCATGCCCACCTGCGACTCGCTGACGGCGTTTATCTGCTCCAGCGCGTTCGCCGCCGAGGTGAAGGGCTTGAAGGCTGCCAGCTTGATCGACTTGCCGAAGCGCTGGATATCATTCACCGACTGCTGCACCGCATCCACGCCCCCCAGCTCGTCGGCGGCCGTCAGCTCGAACAACCCATAGCCAGAGGCTGACTCGAACAGCAGGAAGGTCGTCATGTTGCCACAGTGCTGCTGCAGCGGCCCCACAAGCCTAAAACGTCGCCAGCAGCGCAAGCGAGCGTCTCTAGCAAGCCCCGAGCGTGGAGGGAGGGTTGGGCAGTTTAGGGCACGCGCTGGAAGCCCCCAGACACCTGTGTGCTGGCGTTTGGCAAGGCCTGCGTCGCCTGCTATGCGTTGGCACTGGTGCTGGTTTGGAGCTCAACCAGCATGCTCACAGCCATCAGCGATACATCAGGACACAATTGAGATACCCGATGGTGCGCCCCAAGGCCAGGGGCGGCCGGCAGCAGTCCAATGCGGCAGGCAGGAAGCGCAAGCAGCGAGACGAGTTTTTCGACGAAGAGGATGAGGCAGACTTCTTCGTTCAGAGCGGCGAGGAGGGGGCCGGCAGCGAGAGCGAGGATGAGGAGTCTGAGCAGGAGGAGACGGCAGAGGAGAAGCGCCTGCGGCTAGGTAAGGGGTGATGAAGGCGACGTTGCGCCTCTTGGAGGCCGTCCCCGGTGCATGCAGGCCGCATCGGGCCCCATGCATGCTGCCGCCGCCCCCGCCAGCCGCTGCCGCTTGTTGGCGGAGCTCAGCGCAGGCTTCCTAGCGAGCCAGGCGCAGCTGGGACCCTGTGGCTGATGCTACATCAGCTTGTGGGGATGCAGGCAGCAAGCAGCCCAATTCAGCTGCTGGCAACAGTCTGCAGCGTGGCTGCCACTGCCGCGCCCTGTCCCAAGCTGGCTGCCCCATGCTCGCTCCCTGCCGCAAACTCGGCCTGCAGCCAAGGCTTACTTGGACCAAGTCAAGGCGATAGAGGCGGCGGAGAGGGAGCCCGGCAGCGAGTCGGAGGACGAGGAGGGCGGCGACGGCGGCGGCAGCGCAGCACACGACGCGGTCGCGGGCCGCCTGCGCGACGACGCGCTGGAGGGCATGGGCCACCTGCAGCGCAGGCTGGCCCACCGGCTGGCGCTGCCGCCGCTGCCGCGGGTGGCAGACTACGGAGGCGCCGCCGCCTGCGGCGGCCGCCTGCTGCGGGGCCACCGCCTGTCGGTCACGGCGGTCGCGCTGACCGCCGACGAGCGCACCGTGTTTTCGGTCAGCAAGGACGGCGCCATTTTGGAGCACGACGTGGAGAGCGGCGCGCGGCAGCGGTTTGTGGCCTCGTCAGCCGCGGGGCTGGGCCGCGTGGAGCAGACGGGCACCGAGGCAGACTGGGTGAAGCGCGGGCCGCGGCAGAGCGGCGCCGCCTCGCTGCTGGCGGCCGCCGTCAGCGGGGACGGGCGCTACCTGGCTGTGGGGGGCGGCGACCGCAAGGTGCACGTCTGGGACGCACGCAGCCGGCAGTACGTGCGGGTGAGTTGCGGCGGGTGTGCCGCCGCACCGCGGCAGGCTGCGCTGGCGCTGCCGGGCAGGGCATGCCTGCTGGCTGTCGGGCCGCCTGCTGGCCGCTGCCTGTCGCCTCCCTCGGCCCGCAGCCCAGCGGCCCAGGCTGCGGCCCCACTCTGTGGACCCGCACCCTCACCGTCCCGGCGCACACACACACACACACAAGCTCACGCGCTGCTACCCTCGACGCGCCGACCCTCTCCTGCAGGGCTTCCCAGGGCACAAGGACGCGGTGACGTGCCTGGCGTTCCGGGAGGGCACGCACGAGCTGTACAGCGGCTCTCTGGACAGATCCATCAAGCTGTGGAGCCTGGACGACATGGCATATGTGGACACGCTGTTTGGGCACCAGGCGGGTGAGTGCTCGGGTGTGCATTTTGTGTGAGCTTGGGCGCTCGGCGGGGGAGCGGCGGTGGGTCGGCTTGTGGGTGGGGTGCACGCGGGTGGGTTGTCTTAGGGGCTGGTGGGCGGGTGTAAGTTGTTGTGTAAGTGAGCGGCAGGCGGCAGGCGGCGGCAGGCAGCCCAGGCAGGGAGGCGGGGCAGGGGCCGGAGAAGAGCTGTGCTGCTGGGTTTGAAAAGCAGGCTCCGAGGTCAGCAGATACTCTGGCAGCTCTCTCAAGCCGGCTTGGCCTGATGCGCCTGCCTGCCTGCCTGCCGAATTGCATGCCAAATTGCCTTCCTGCCAAACTGCCTGCTCCCATCGCCGCCGCCGCCGCAGAGGTGCTGAGCGTGGATGCGCTGCGGGCGGAACGATGCGTCTCCTGCGGCGCCGACCGCACGTGCCGCGTGTGGAAGATTCCCGAGGAGAGCCAGCTGATCTTCCGGGGCCACTGCCTGACGATCGAGTGCTGCCGCTACATCGCCGGCGGCGCGTGGGCCACGGGCGCGGCAGACGGCAGCCTGTCGCTGTGGAGCGGCACCAAGAAGAAGCCGATGTTCACGATGAGGCGCGTGGGCGGGGCCGCGGGCAGGGGTGGCAGGCTGCTTGGTACACGTGCTGCCCGCGCACGTGCGGCTGCCGCTGCTGCTGGGGCCTGTGCTTGCCTGCTGCAGGCATGGCCTTGCCTGCTGCGCCTGCCAGCCACGCTGCTCCCTGCCTCATCCGCTGCTGCCGCACAGCAGGCTATGAACCATGCATGACTGCGGCCCGGCCTGCAGGGGTGCGCATGCCGACCCAAACCAGGACGGCGAGGAGGCGGAGGGGGCGGGCAGCGTGGGCGGCGACGCCGCCACATGGGTCGGCAGCGTGGGCGTGTGCCGCGGCAGCGACCTACTGGTGAGACCTCTCCCTGGCTGTTTTCTATGAGGCTGCTTGCCGTGGTGCAAGCTTCCCCACGGCCGCTTCGCTTGCCAGCATGCCTGGCTGCCTTTGCCCGCCGCTCGCTCGCCTCGCCCGCCAGTGTCCACTGCTCTCCCAGCCACCCACCCCCGTTCAAACGCAGGCCAGCGGCGCGGGCGACGGCGTGGTGCGGCTGTGGCGGGTGGCCGACGCCAAGGGCGGCAGCAGCAAGGCGCTGGAGGCGGTGGGGGGCGTGCCGGTGCGCGGCTTTGTCAACTCCCTGGCGCTAGGGCGCAGCGGGCGGGTGCTGGTGGCGGGGGTGGGGCAGGAGCCGCGCATGGGGCGCTGGCTGCGGGACGCGGCAGCCCGCAACGGCGTGCTCATACAGCCGCTGCAGCTGGATCCAGAGGGCGGCGACTGAGGGAGCGCGGCGTTTGAATTGTGCCCGGTTGGACTTTCCCGCCCACTTCCTGCCTGGCGGCGGCAAAGTCCGGTGAAAGCAGCTTCAGCTTCCGGCTGCTGGTCACGATTTCTGGCTTGTAAACGCCTGGAGGGGTCTCGAGATTGACAAATACAATGCAAGGTAGCCGAGAGGGCATCCATTCGGCATAAATTGGGAGGGGTTAGGGTTTGGGTCGTTCAGCTTCCGCCTTCCAGCACGTCCCTCCAAGCCATGCACGCGCCTCCCCGCGTTCAATTCGTGCATGCTCCGATCAGCCTGGCGGGCCACTCACGGCCGCACGCGCTCTAGGCCTCTCCATCCCCTTCCCGCCTCTTCGCCATGCACCCCACTTGAACCACCAACTGCCGTGAGAAAGCTCCCTGGGACCCCCCTGGCAGCCTCTGGGGCATGCTCAAGAGGCACCGGGGTCCCAGGCAGCGCGATACATAGGGGATGGCGTCCGCATTGGCGGCCACTCCCCTCCCCAACGCGCTTGCCGCGTCCGCCCTGCTCGCCTTCATCCACGCCCTGGAGCAATACAATAGCAATTTCCTGCAGCAAAACGATTGCCAGTGCGCGGTGGCACGGTATGCGGAGGCGGCGCTGAGGGAGGCGGAGGCCGAGGGCGGCGGCCGCGGCGCCGGCAGCGTGACCGCCCTCGAGCAGACGCTGGCTGACGCCGGCTGGGACGGCCGCGCCTTTGCCAAGCCCCTGGACGCCGGCCGGCTGGCCAGCCGCCTCAAGTCCTTCCTGTTTGTGGGGCTGCGGCAGCAGGGCTGCGGCACCTATGCGCTCGTCTTCCGCGCCCGCAGCCGCGTAAGTGGCAAGCTGGTGGCCCTCAAGCGCATGAAGCTGGACTCTCAGGAGGAAGGCGTGCCCACCACCGCCCTGCGGGAGGTCTCCCTGCTGCGCCAGCTGGCGGGGAGCCCCCACATCGTGCAGTGAGTGGCTTCCGCCGTGTCCCGCCTGCCTGGCCGCCGCCCCAACCGCGGCCTCCGCCGCGGCCGCCGCGCCTGCACCCGTCTGCCTGCCAGCCCTGCGCCTCTATGCCCACCACATCCCACCTCAACCACAGCACCTCACGCCATGTGCCCCACCACCCGACCCCACCCACCCACCCTGCTTCCCCTGCACCCCCGCCTGCTCCCTTCTTCTGCAGGCTGGAGGATGTGGTGTGGGACCAGCGCAGCCTGTACCTTGTCATGGAGC